CTTATTTGGTACATTAAAATAATACAGGAAACATTGTCAAGTATGAAATCATGTTGGGCTTTCTTTGGGCTGTATTTGTATATAACTATGTTATTGTTTGTGTTCCAAAATTATGGGAAACTCCTATAATTCTGATATGAATTAATGTACATTATTAATAATAATTATAATTGTTATGTTAAGTTATTGTGTGCCACAGAGTTATCCAAATTTCCTACTCAGTGATTTTAATTTCTTTAATCATGGCTGCCCTAAGCCTTTTTGTCATGCATAGACAATTGTCTTTTCATTATCTGTTTTTTTCCTCTTAAAAAGGAGTTTATAATCAGCTGTAGGACTTTGATGAGTACTTTTAAATGCAGGGAGAAAGAAAACAACATCCAAGACTCTCTGGGAAAGCTAACATATATATATCAAACAAAACAGGAATTAATTGCATAGACTGAACTAATACAAGACTGAAGTAATCTTTTATGACTTTTTGCTTGAAACGTTGATCTTTCTGTTTTGTTTTTCACAGTCAAGAAACCCCCTCTCTTTGAGCTATTTTCAGCTTTTAACAGTTGAATAAAGTATGCTCCTATAAGGAGTATAAAACAAGGAGATAAGCTTACTCAAAGCTTTCTTAAATTGAACACATATTAATCTTGGATCTTTGTCTCTTTAGATTAAGGATTCCCTTGTAAAAGAGAGAAGGGAAGAAACAGGGCATCTCCATCTTAAATAGGGGCTGGGTAAAATGAGGCTGAGACCTCCTGGGCTGCATTCCCAGGAGGGTAGGCATTCTTAGTCACAGGAAGACCTAGGAAGTTGGCAGGACTGGTATCTTAAGATAGAGGTCATAAACACCCTGCTGATAAACAGGATGAGGTAAACAACCTGCCACATCTAAGATGGTAATGACAGTGACCTCTGGTCATCCTTATTGCTCATTGTATGTTACTTATAATGCATCTGCATGCTAAAAGACACTTCTACCAGCACCATGACAGTTACAAATACCGTGGCAATGTCTGGAAATCACCCTATATGGTCTAAAAAAAGGAGGAACGCTCAGCTTCAGGAAATCCCCACCCCTTTCCTGGAAAACTCATGAATAATCCACCCTTTGTTTAGCATACATCAAGAAATAACCATAAAAATAGCCAGCTAGCAGTGCTTGGGGTGCTCTGCCTCTGGATCAGCTATTCTTTTGTTTCTTTGCTTCTCTAATATGCTTGCTTTCACTTCGGTTCTGTGGGCTTGCCTCACGTTCTTTCTGGTGCAAGATCTAAGAATCACCTCTTGGGGGCTGGATCAGGACTCCTTTCTAACACCTGCGTGATACCTGAGGCGATCAGCCTGCTCATTCACCCAGCAAACCCGGATGAAGCCCTCCCATGTGTCTGGCACAAAGGGAGCTGAGGACCGCAGTTCTGGAACGCAGAGACAATGTGTCTGGCCACATCGCAGGTAGCAGGGCCAGGTTCTAGCCTGTGGCTGGAGGGCCAACACCTGCACCTTTTCTGGTACCCACCCTGCCTCCGTGACTCAGAGCAATTGAGCACTTTAGCTCAGGCTGGATTCAGGGCTTCTTGCCCCCTTCTTGAACAACCTTGGGGCTCTTGTGCCCCATCCCTGTGTCAGTGTCCCAATCATCAGGGGGCCTCAGACTCCTTCCTGCTCTGACTTTTTAGGCCTTTGAATAAAACAAGACTCCACTGGATCACCAAAGAGTTAAGCAAAGGAAATCCCTGTCTCCCTTTATCTCCCAGAACCCAGAGGCTGAGGGGAGGGAGGAGGGAGGAGGGGAAGTGGGAAGCGGCTCTGCCCGCTCCCTCCGCCCTCCCTCCCTCCACCCTTTCTCCCTCCATCCCCTCCTCTCTCCCTCCTCTGCTGAGCCTGGGGGTCTGGGCCAGCAACAAGTTAGTATTGCAGACATGGGCCAAGGAATCAGAGGCCATGCAGTGGCTCAGGGTCCGTGAGTCGCCCGGGGAGGCCACAGGACACAGGGTGAGTGACCAGAGGCTCCTCAGCTTGGGGGCTGAGGTCAGAGCCTGGAATTCCTCTCTTCCCTCCTTGCTTCCTGGAAGCATCTGGGGCCCTGCTCTCTCCCTGTGACTGGGACAGCCTCTCCAGGGTCTCCCTCCACATTTCCTCCTGCCTCTGGCTGAGGGCTGCGCTCCCCTGCTCCCAGCTTTTGCCTGCCCCTGGCCGGGCACAGCATTGCCCGGGCACACACAAACTCAGCTCTGCATAGCCTGCCTGGACTGAGAAAAGTTGCCTTCCCGTTCTCTCCCCAAAGAGTTCCCAGCTCCCCAGTGGAAGCGGTAAGGACCCCAAAAGTCCTCCCTGTGGCTTGGTCCCCACACTGGGTCCCTGCCTGGCACCCTCCCCTAGAGCTGGTTTGTGATCCTTGCTGTGGTTATTCTTCCTCGTTAACAGTTTCCTGATTCCTGCTCCCAGGCCACGGTTCTGTGTCTTACAGCTTTTGACTCCCATCTGGCTGGGGCCAATAGGAATCAGAAATGCTCCCAAACCATGCCAATCCTCTGGGAGAAGTTCTCCTTCCCATCCCATGCAGGCACAGGGAAGAGATGGGAGCACACTTTTTTTTTTTTTAAGTCTTTTACAAGGTAGCACTTTCCCTGCATTGAAGTCCTTCCTGGGAAGGAGATGGTGGTGTCATCTTGTAAGTGTCAAGGAGTAGGAAGCCCAGAGAGGTTCAGCTGCTAGCCCTAGATCACACAACTTGCAAACTGTTCTGGGTCTCAGATCTGACTCCAAGACCTCAGCTTTTCTCATGAGGTTATATCTATGGCTGGGAAAAGGAAGGAAATGTCGCTCTTCTCAAAGCCACTGGGATTTGTCATTTATAAGCAAAAGTAGAGGATGGTAGTTTCAGACAGGGAGGATGTTGATCTCTGAGGATTTGACTTCCTTAGTGAGCAGAACCGGGAACCCAACCAGGGTGGGCAGAGAGGAGCTTGGGAAGGGTCACCTCAAGGAAGAGGGAGGTGGCTCTGGAGACTTCCTGCCCACCCCCCTTCTCCTGCTGCTACCACCCAGCTCTGGGGGTGGGGCAGGAATCCTGCCTCTTTATTTATTTTTCATTTTAATTTTTGAAAAATAGAGACGGTCCCACTATGTTGCCCAGACTGGTCTCGAACTCTGGCACTCAAGTGATCCTCTTGCCTCGGCCTCCCAAAGTGCTGGGATTGCAGGAAAACTCACTGCACCTGGCCATCCTGTCCCTTTAAAACTCTGCCGTCACCTCCGTGCTCAGCTGAGATCGGGTGGCATTTTACAAAGTAATAATTGTACCTTCTCTACATGTATTAACCACAGAAAAAATATTTTTGAATTCTACTAAATGTTAAAGGAGAGCAAAAAGGAAATAAACAAAGAAACGCCAGAAGTGTAAAAACCAGTCGGATTTCAAAGCAGAGTTTCTGATCCTGCGATAACTCAGCGCCAGCCCCCAGAAGCTGCACCACCTCAAAGGTCTTTGCCCGGCTTCCTGCCCACCCAACCCAGGCCTGTCTCTAGCGCCTGGTGTCCAGGCTACTTCCTGCCTCTCTCCTGGAACCCTGGACCCTTTCCTGGCCGAGGCCAGAGACAGAACCTCAGCAACACTTGCACTTTCTGATCCTTTAGAATTTTTCAGACCTCCTAGTCCTACCTCTTAATTCCAGTCTACCACCATGGCATCTGATTGGAGGGCTACAAAGATGACACAACCAACTTCCAATGATTTTTTATTTTGAGACCATCTTGCTCTGTCGCCCAGGCTGGAGTGCAGTGGTGCAATCTCAGCTCACTGCATCCTCCGCCTCCCAGGTTCAAGTGATTCTCCTGCCTCAGCCTTCTGAGTAGCTGGGACTATAGGAATGCACCACCACGCCTGGATAATTTTTCGTTGTTGTTGTAGTTTTAGTAAAGACAGGGTTTCACCATATTGGCCAAACTGTCTTGAACTCCTGACCTCATGATCTGCCTGCCTTAGCCTCCCAAAGTGCTGGGATTACAGGTGTGAGCCACCGCGCCTGGCCCCAGTGAATGAACTCTCTCCAGAGCCTTCCCTGCAGGGCTTCTGGTTAAGGTTGTGCTGCATAGGTTGTTAACTGCACAAAGGTGCTGAGCAGGGTGGTGGGCTAGCGCCAGCCCTTGCCAAGCTGCACACCCACAGCATTGCTTCTCTCCAAAGGGGACTCATCATTTCTAATTTGTCCAGAGGGCACCTTCTTCACTTTGCACAAAGGCACTCTAAAGGCTAGCAATGGCCTGCAGTCAGGCCCCAGTATGCCTTCTCCTGACTGCTCAGCAATGCAATGACACCGTCACCACACACCACCCCTCATGCTCTCATGGACGTCGCTCTCTGTCTGCTAGGATAAACGAACTCTCCTGTCTCTTTTGGCAGGACTGTGTGGTGTTATCACGTCAAAGCATGGGCCCGGCCACCTGTCCCCCCCTGAGAAAAGCCTGCAGAACCCTTCATGTTTGTTTCCTGTGTCCACTAACCTCTGTCCTCCTGCTGGGGGTCGGGGTACACATGTTTGCTAGCGATAGTGGAGTCCATGGCAAGACAATGCCCGAGGGAGGTGCAAGGGCGGGAGAGCATTGGACGGTCTCCTGGGTTGCCAGCCATGGGCAGCTAGAGCGTCTTCTCACCTGCCCCGGCAAAGGCCTACTGGGATCCCTTTCTGCTGTCAGCTGTGACTGTCTTCAGAGGGGCTTCTCCTTCCCAGACCTGTGTGGGGCAGAAGCCTCCGTGGACTGGGTGCCGGGAGACTTAGCATCCAGGCCCTGCTCTGGCACAGTCCATTCCTGGTCTCGGGGAGCTTGCTGATCTGCAGAGGTCTCAGTCTTCTTGTCTGATAAATGGGGACAATAACCTTCCTTCCTGCGTTAGGTCAGGATCCCTCTGGCTGAGGGAGGCGGCACCCGCCCACCCCGGGCATCTGCACATTGTAGATGTTGAGTGAAATTCAGTTCCTGTCCCTCCTTCCTTGTTCCAGGTCACCATGGGGACAGCCGCCCTGGGTTCTCTCTCAGCAGTGCTCCTGCTCTTTCTCCTGATGTGTGAGGTCCCTGCAGTGGAGCTCACCTTGGACAGAGCTGTGGCCAGCGGCTGCCGACGGTGCTGTGACCCTGAGGACCCCCTGGTGCCTGACCATGTGTCTGCAGCCTCTTCCTCCGTCCTCCCGCACGCCCTGCCTGAGGTCAGGCCCTACATTAACATCACCATCCTGAAGGGTGAGTGCCCTCCTGCGGGGCCTGGTAGTGGGCAGGGAGGGCCAGGGAGCTGAGGTAGGGGGAGTAGAAGGCAGGGCAGAAACCAGTCCAGACCAAGATGCCTCCCATCCGCACGCCCGTTCTTGGTGGGGGGACAGGCCGTGAGCAAGGGACCCGTCAGCCAGGTTAGCGGAGTGGAATGTTCCATGGTGATCAGTGTTCTGGGAACGGAAAAGAGGCCTCGGGAGTGCAGGTCTGGGGTGCAGGCTACATATTAAACGGGTGGGCAGTGAAGGACCCATGGAGCACAGGCTCAAAAGAGGCGGCAGAGGCACATCCTGGCAAAGGGCACGGCTGGTGCAGAGTCCCTGGGCAGGGCTTCGAGATGTGCCAGGCTCAGATCACACGGGCACCTGTCACCACCAGCCACATAGGGACCTGGGCTCCACTGAGTGGTGTGGGAACAGGGGCAGGTTTGAGTGGGAGAGAGACTTGGTGCCACCCAGGTTTCAAATGGATCCCTCTAATGTCGTGTGGAGAACAGCCAGCAGGGGCCAAGGGTTGGAGCCCGCAGCCCTATGGGGCTCCCAGGGCCATCCAGGTAGGGCCGGCTCCCGCTCTCTCAAGCAGACACGGAGGACTCGCTTCCCTCACAGGGACTGTGGTGGCTGAGGGCTGCGGCCAGGCCTTGACACCTGTAGCTTCTGTCTCTGCCCACAACAGCCCGTGAGGTCGGTATTTTCCTAATCCTCCCACTTTGCAGATGGGGAACTCAGTGTCCCCGGGGACATGCAGCTGTCATGGACGGAGCCGGGATTTATTTGTTCCTGAGCTGTCCATGGGGTCACATCATTGCACTACCAGTGGTCCTCTGGCATGTCCTCTGATATCATGGAGAGGACATTGCTCTTCCTCACAGCCCTCTCCCACCCAGCTTCCCCAGGGCTGGCTTAGCCCTCCGCATGGGGTTGGAGGGGTGCCCGGCTGCTGATGGCCCCTCCTCACTGCCCTCCCCAAAGACAGGGTCACTGCTCCTGGTCCCGGCTCAGCAGCCTGCTGGGAGCTGGGTTGGCTGCCATGGCTGAGGGGCCCTGGGCTGGCTTTGGGAGTCCTGGATCCCAGCCTCAACTCTTTGGCTCCCTTGCCCAGTAGATCAGGCTGGTCTCTCTCCCCGGCCCTGAGCCTGCCACCTTATTAGTCAAAAGAAGATAGCCCCCTCCTCCTAGCCACCTCCGCTCCTTCCCTCTCTCGGGCTGAGCTGTCCAGCGTTCTGCACGCGGTCTGGGGCTGTGTAGGTGAGGGGCGGCTCTCCAGTGAGGCCTTGGCCCCGACCTCTGCAGAGCTGTGGACTTGCCCTGCTCCCCTCTCTGGGCTTCTGCCCCAAGGGACTGTGCCCTCCTTTCTGCCCTGTCCCCCACCTGTGGAAAATACAGGGCCTTCTAACCCATGCAAGGGTGCGATTGCTGGTGTGACTCCAGGCCCTGTGACAGGTGGCAGGGAGCTATGTGAGGTCGGGTCCCTCCAGGCATGGGCAGCCACCAGCTTCTCTTACGTTGAAAGCAGCCTGGACTAAGGGCCGCGCCTGGCTGGGGGCCATTGTACACGCTGCCAGACCTCAGAGCAGGTCGGGACCGGCCGGCTGTGCTGGGCGGCCTCTTATTTGCAGAGGTTGCAAAGTGCTTTCCCATAGGACGTTTTGTTGAGGGGTCACAACCACCTCTGTGAGATGGACATCATCCTCTGTAAAACACAGACCAGAAAACCGAGACCCCAGCCGTGGAGTGCCCCAGGTCACACGGGGCAGGACGGCCAACCAAGGGCTCCCTGGCTCCTAACCTGGGCTTTTCCTCCAGGTGGGCGAAGGTATTTTTCTTGGTTTCTTCTCTGGGTAAGAAACCCAAAGTGCGTTCCAGCACGCCCCACATCCCCACCAGCCTGGACTATGGCGCCGTGACCCTGGGGTGGGGCTCTGGGCCTGGCCTCCCAGAGACAACAGTCGGACCCTCCCTGATGGGTGCAGGGACGCCAAGTCGCCCTGGGGACAGAGCACATTTTAAGTCCTGCCTCTTCTGCTCCTGCACTGTGTGGCCCTGGGGGAGTCACTTAACCTCTCTGTGAAGTGAAGATGGTCATGATGTTTTCTTTTCTGTTTTTGAAACGGAGTCTCAAAAACAGTGTGGAGTGCAGTGGCACGATCTTGTCTCACTGCAACCGCCGCCTCTCAGGTTCACGTGATTTTCCTGCCTCAGCTTCCCGAGTAGCTGGGACTACAGGTGCACGCCACCACGCCCAGCTATTTATTTTTTATTTTTTTATTTTTAATAGATACGGGGTTTCACCATGTTGGCCAGGATGGTCTCAATCTCTTGACCTCATGATCTGCCTGCCTTGGCCTCCCAAAGTGCTGAGATTACTGGCATGAGCCACCACATTGGGCCATGTTTTCTTTAGGTAGCCATTTGGGAAGGCAATGCCTGGCATATAGCAGGTGCTAAATAAATCCTGGCTTCTTCTCTGGGCCAGGACAGGGGCAGAACCTTCACAGATGAGTGTGGGTACCTCCCTGGAGCAGGCTCAGATGTTCACCCTGAACTGTCCCCTCCTTATCCCCGCAGGTGACAAAGGGGACCCAGGCCCAAAGGGTATCCCAGGGTCCAGGGGCATGGATGGTCCTCAAGGAGAGCCTGGTCCGCAGGGCAGCAAGGGCGACAAGGGGGAGATGGGCAGCCCCGGCCCCCCTTGCCAGAAGCACTTCTTTGCCTTCTCGGTGGGCCGCAAGGAGGCCCTGCACAGCGGCGAGGACTTCAAGACGCTGCTCTTCGAAAAGGTCTTCGTGAACCTCGATGGGTGCTTCGACATGAGTGCCGGCCACTTCGCCGCTCCCCTGCGCGGCATCTATTTCTTCAGCCTCAACGTGCACAGCTGGAACTACAAGGACACGTACGTGCACATCATGCACAATGAGAAGGAGGTCGTGGTCCTGTACGCGCAGCCCAACGCCCGCAGCATCATGCAGAGCCAGAGCGTGATGCTGGACCTGGCCTCCGGGGACCGCGTCTGGGTGCGGCTCTTCAAGAGCCAGCGCGAGAATGCCATCTACAGCAACAACTTCGACACCTACATCACCTTCAGCGGTCACCTCATCAAGGCTGGGGACGATTGAGGGCCACCCACCCGGCCGGAGAGCTCAGGGGCTGGCCCTGTCCCCTGCCAGGCTTGGTTTGCATCGCGGTGAAGCGGGAAGGCCCGGGAGGTCCCCGGGGACCTGGCGTTCTGGAAGGACCCTGCTTCTTTCTTGGCTGCCGCCGTCCCTCCCAGACTATTTCTGCTCCTCTCTTCTCTCTTGGACCTATTTTAAGAAACTTTCTAACCTAAATATTCTAGAACTTTTCCAGCCTCATAGCCCAGCACTTCTCAAACTTGGATGTGCACGTGAATCACCCGGGGTTCGTGTTAAATGTGGATTCTGACTCAGTAGGTCTGAGTGGGTCCAGGATTCTGCATTGCTAACACATTCCTGGGTGATGCTGATGCTATCTATCAGTCTATGAACCACACTGGAGCAACCAGGTTCTAAAACTTTCTGAATATTCTAGTACTTTCTGAACATTCTAGAATCCTCCACACATTCCAGAATATTCCCAACTTTTTTTTTTTCTTTGAGACAGGGTTTTGCTCTGTTGCCCAGGCTCGAGTGCAGTGGTGTGATCTGGGTTCACTTCAACCTCTGCCTCCTGGGTTCAAGTGATTCTCCTGCCTCAGCCTCCTTAGTAGCTGGGATTACAGGCGCCTGCTAACATGCCCGAATAATTTTTGTATTTTTAGTAGAGATGGGATTTTACCTTGTTGGCCAGGCTGGACTCGAACTCCTGATCTCAGGTGATCCACCTGCCTCAGCCTCCCAAAGTGCTGAGATTACAGGCATGAGCCACTGCGCCTGGCCTCTCCCAACATTCTTAAATCCTCTCATCCCTCCAGGGCTCCATGTACTGTGTTCTCTGCCCCTTCCCCTCTTCTCTTGCTCACACCTGCACTGCCACAGCCACCGTTCATTTATTCACTCATCAAACACCAAGCACTCACTCTGTGCTGGGTCCCGGGAAGGGTGAGCGAGTCAGACACAGGCCCTGCCCCTACCTCAGTGACCGGCCAGTCCAGCCAGGCAGGGAGAGATGTGTACGCAGGTTTTGAAGCAGATCCACAGCTCACACGGTTCTGTGTTCTGGGTGTTCAGGTGCTGCTGGTCCTCCGTAACCCACTGTTCCCCAAGGCAGACAGGACGGGGTCCCGGTGGCAGGGGCAGGTATCCCCTCCCCGTTCCTCATCCACCTGCCCAATGTCCATCGTTAAAGCAAACCCTAGGGGGCCTTGTCCAGGTCAAGGGTTCTGTGAGTAGAGGACTCAGGAGTGTGGGGGCTTTTGGGGGTGAAGGGACCCCGAGGAATGGAGCCCACACCCATAGCTCTCCCCACAGCTGATTTGGCAGCCTGTGAGGAAACGTGCCCTCCTCACTGAGATCCCCTTCCTGCCCCCTCCCAGGGATCTGCCAGGGCCTTGTTCACCTCCTTCCACCAAAGGCATCCGAGCCCCAGTTTCCCGAGGACCTCCAGCTCAGACGCTGATGTCTGTCCCCAGGTGCTCTCTGCCCCTCCTTCCCCTGTCCCTGGCCCAGTGCCCCGACTCTGCAGGCTTTATCAAGGTGCTAAGGCCCCAGTGGACAGCTGCTCACCTCAGAGCCCTGCCCCAGCCTGGTGCTGCCTCTACAAACACCTGCAGGCCAAGGGCCAGGGCAGAAGCCCCAGGCTTTGGAGCCTTCAGCAGGTCTGGGGAGCTGAAGCAGGCTATATTCTGTCACTGGGAGAGGCCGAGGCAAAGGAGGGACCTGCGGCCTTCTGTTCCTTCTCTCAGGGTGGGGTGGCCCAGTGGCCCCCTAGCCTTCCAAACCCAGGTGGCCTGCTCTTCTCCCTGGAGGGAGGCGGCCTCTGCCCATTGGTGCTCCTGCGGACTCTGGGGCCGAGGTGCTGGGGGGTGGTCTCTGGTGCTCACAGCCAAGGGAGCTGTAGCTCCATGGCGGGATGACAGGAACAGGGCCCCACAAGTGCCAGGAAGACTGGTGCTATCAACCACCCCCCGACCATGCCCTGCCCTTCCGTCCAGCATGATTAAACAGTGCTGTCTCCTCTTGGCGACTCAGACTGGTTCTTTCTGCTCCGCTCCCTCTGCCCACACAGAAACCAGCCCCCGGCTCACACAACCCGTGCACCTTGGAGTTAGTGGAACCGGCAGAGTCTGCCATTTTGCTCTCTGGCCGTGACCTAGGGCAAGCCCCCACATCTCTGCACCTCGGTTTCCTGTCTGTAAAATGGGGATGATGGTAATCTACCCCATGCGGTGGACGTAAGGATGCCAGGTTGCCCGGTGAGTGCCGCGCTCACGCTCAGCATCTACTGAGTGCCTACTGTGTGGCGCAGAGCTGAGCACCTGTGCCGCTTACGCTCCAGTGAGGCACTCGAAAGCCCCCTCTCCTGCCCCGGGGACCGTGTCTCATGTTTTGTGTCTAATTATTACAATAACTGCCGCATCTTCTCTCCGGGAAAACACGCACTAATCCACTGCATGGTGGAACAGCTTGACGGGTCTGGCTTTCCAATATGCAGTCAAGTTTGGCCTCTCTAGGCCAGCCTGGTGGCTACTCACATAAATAAAGTGACCTCCGAGGCCGGGTGCGGTGGCTCACACCTATAATCCCAGCGCTTTGGGAGACCGAGGCGGGCGGATCACCTAAGGTCGGGAGTTCCAGACCAGCCTGACCAACATGGAGAAGCCCCATCTCCACTAAAAATACAGAATTAACTGGATGTGATGGCGCACACCTGTAATCTCAGCTGCTTGGGAGGCTGAGGCAGGAGAATCGCTTGAACCAGGGAGGCGGACGTTGCAGTGAGTCTAGATTGCACCACTGCACTTCAGCCTGGGCGACAAGAGCGAAACTCTGTCTCTAAATAAATAAATAAAGTGATCTGCCCTGATTTCCCAACAGACTTGATGGGGCATCCTGCTCTGTGTTATTCCTAAAGCGTTGCAATGCCATTTGGGGCACCAGGTAGAAGAAGTGTGCTACCAAGAACCAACCATCTGCACCTGTGCCAGGGCTGTCGCTTCTCCCTTCCCCCCCGGCAACTCTCCCGGGATGCTCAGGGAAGTCACTCATCCAACCCATGCCATTAGAGCACGGCTGCGTGCCAGATGCTGCTAATACACAGATACACCGTCACACGCAGTCCTCTGTTGAAACCAAGCCAAGACTCACAGCGGGGAAATGACAAGCCCGGATCATACCATAGGAAAAGTGATGCTGTGTGCCCTGAGCCAGGAGCTGGTCTAGGGAAAGGGTGCGCAGGGGTCGGAACCCGCAGCTGGCTCCAGATTCCATACACCCCGGCGTCTGAGCACGCACCGCTCGCTCAGGCTTCCCCAGCCCTGTCACGTGCTCTTAGTATTCTCTGGGCAACTGCTGCTATCTCATGCTTTCTGCCCCACTGCCACTTCTCAGCCCAGCCCAGTAGCCCACCTTACAGGGGTGTACAGGTCTCCATTTCCTCGGAGCTCACCTGTCATTGATGGGAGGCTCCCCACTGCACCTGAATGTCATGCAGCTCTGGCCAAAGGGGCTGCTCCCACGTCGGAGGCAACCCCGGGGACCGATCTCCCAGCATGCTTTTGGGCCAGGGTCTGTTTGTACATAACAGGCTCCACCAGCATCCCAGCTCAGGGCCTCGGGACCAAGGCTGCCCTGAGTGCCAGCCTGCAGGCTTTTGTCGTGTACAGCACAAGGATGGGCGGTTTGTGCTGTACAAAAGGGTCTGGCTTTCTAATATGTTGTCAGTTTGGACTCTCTAGGCTATTTAAAGTGACCCACGGCTGGGCGCGGTGGGTCACGCCTGTAATCCCAGCACTTTGGGAGGCTGAGGCGGGCAGATCATGAGGTCAGGAGATCAAGACCATCCTGGCCAACATGATGAAACCCCGTCTGTAGAAAAATACAAAAATTAGCTGAGCGTCGTGGCACGTGCCTGTAGTCCCAGCTACTTGGGAGGCTGAGGCACGAGAATTGCTTGAACCTGGGAGGCGGAGGTTGCAGTGAGCAGAGATAGCGCCACTGCACTCCAGCCTGGCGACAGAGCAAGACTCTGGGTCTCAAAAATAAATACATAAATAAAAAGTGGCACACACGGTGGCTCATGCCTGTAATCCCAGCACTCTCGGAGGCCGAGGTGGGCAGATCACAAGGCCACATTAGTTCAGGGAACTGAGACCGGGAGATCTGCCATGCTTAGTCTGGGTGACTTCAGCAAGCTGGTTGAACACCCGTGTAGCCACCTCTGGGCAAGCCCTTTCAGTTACATATTTTGAAAATGATGTTTTCTGCCTGAAACATTAGGCAATGAGGAAGGGGAAGGAGAGGGTGGTCAAGAGGAGCAGCGGCGTGGGAAATGAAAGACCCCTGACAAGGAGTGTGCCCAGGCAGGGCAACCTCACCCCCGCGTTGCCATTGCTTTGTTGAGTGGCCTGGGGCAAATACAGGGAAGATTGACGGGGAAAAGGGTGATTAGATGAGAACCTGAGTTAAAATCAGGGGCAGGGCTGATGCAGGTATTTAGCTGGACCGTGACCTGCGGCCTGGATAGGTGGGCTGCACCCATTTCACCGGCTAGGTTAGGTTGTGTCTGGAAGTGTCCAGTCTTCCTGGGAAGAAGCTCTGCACAGGAGCTCCTCTGTCACATGGGAGTGTGGTGAGTGGAGCAGAGAATTCTGATGTGGTGATCTGGGAAGGCTTCTTAGTGGAGGAGCCATCTGGGAAGGGCCTTGGAGGATGAATAGGAGTTTGAAAGACACTTGGCGCGGGGAAAGAAGCCGATGGGAGGAGAGGGTTGCAGGCGACCCAGTGTGGTCTATGCTCTGGGCAGTGGGAGAGGCCAGTAGGTTAGATAAATGTCTGGGAGGGAGGCAGAGAGGGCAGGATGGGGTTTGAGACAGGGAAAGGATGGAACGGAATGTCAGGCCAAGTCCAGGGTTGATCTCTTAGGTGCTGGGGCACCTTTAAGAGGCAGATCACTCTGCGGCCAGGAAGAGCACAGACTGCCGAGGGTGAAGCTGGAGGCAGGGAGGGGCCCGTATGGTGGTCCAGGGGAGGACATGGAACGCCTAGAAACTGGGGGAATCATGAAGATGTCATCCTGGAGGAGGAGGCATGTCCCCAGTGGACTTTGAAGTTGGCGAGAGATTCAACAGCAGAGAGGAGAGAGGAGGGCCGCCAGTTGGGGAGTCCAGCTTGGATAAAGGGTCTACTAGGGTGTTGCTCTGCTCCCCCAAGGCTTTCCTTAGACATCGGGAAGCCAGCAGTCCGGGGTGCCAGGAGGCGGGCTTCTGTGCCAGCTCTGCCCAGGAGAGTCCCTTATTTGGCCGGAGGACGGGAGGGAGGGTGCTGGGTAAGTTGTTTAGCCTTTTGTGCTCCCCATATTGTCCTTATCTGTAACATCTGATGCAAAAGCCCTTCTCTCTTCCCCCACTGAGGACTTCAGGGAATCCAGGGCTGCAGACAGAGGCATGATTATTTTTAGAAACCACAAATCAGGACCCATGGAGAAGTGGCAGTGGGGCAGAAAACATGAAATTAGCAGCAGTTGCCCAGGGAATACTAAGAGCACGTGACAGGGCTGGGGAAGCCTGAACGAGCGGTGCGTGCTCAGACGCCGGGGTGTATGGAATCTGGAGCCAGCTGCGGGTTCCGACCCTTGCGCACCCTTTCCCTAGACCAGCTCCTGGCTCAGGGCACACAGCATCACTTTTCCTATAGTATGATCCGGGCTTGTCATTTCCCCGCTGTGAGTCTTGGCTTGGTTTCAACAGAGGACTGCGTGTAACGGTGTATCTGTGTATTAGCAGCATCTGGCATGCAGCCGTGCTCTAATGGCACGGGCTGGATGAGTGACTTCCCTGAGCATCCCGGGAGAGGTGCGGGGGGAGGGAGAAGCGACAGCCCTTGGCCGGGGAGGAAGCCCTGCAACCCCTTCTCCTCTCCCCGTCTCCTCCTCCTCCACTTGGCAGGCCCGTCACAGTAGCCACACACTGCCACGTGTGCATCTGGAGGAAAGGAGAAACACAGGCAGAAACTTAGCATGACCAGAAACAGATGTCAAGAGCATTACGGGTGAGGCCAGCGGGTGGCCGCAGGAGCCAGAGAGGAAGGAGGGATTTCCAGGACACGAGTCAAGAGAGCGTGGGGCTGAGCTGGCGTGGCTTTGGAGCAGCTGGCCTTCAGACCCAGGAGGACAGGAGGCGGCGGCGGCCAGCACCTGAGGGCTGGGGTCGTAGCGCACGGTCAGGTGGGCTGTGGAGTTGCAGCCTGGAGGTGGTGGCATTGGCTGCAGTAGAAAGGGGTCATGGGAGACAGCCGGCCGTAGGCACGTGGAGGAAGGAGGCGACCCTCTGCAGGTCAGCAGTAGGGTGGGAGGGTGGGGCAGTTCCTGAGGTGGCTGCCTGCTTGTCACTGCTGTTGGGAAGGAACGGACGACACAAACGCAGATATTTGCAAAACAGGCCATGCTTTATTTCTCTGAGTAAATTTCGCTTCCATTAGGCATTTCCACGGGCTGAAGTCAAAGAAATGTGGTTTTGGCCAGCTGAGATTCTTCCCCCCTCCCCCACTCCAACATTTCCCTGCGGCTGCATCTGAGTGCCCCTCCCTGCCAGCGGGAGGAGCTGAGGCACTCCACGTCCACTATCCTCTGCTGAGTTTGGCAATGTCCCGTCTGCTCTGGGCTCCGGGTCCTGCTCCCACACCTGCTGAATCACACTCACTCCCACAGCTCCTCCTGGGTCCTCATCCTTCTTGGGACACCTGGGTGTCCCCTGTACACAAATTCCTTGGCCCTCTGAGGGCTGTCTGTCCCAGCCCCATCTGCCCGGATACACTTTGGGGACATTTCTTCCCTGGGGTCTCAGCCACCTTCCTAGGTTCTGCCCAGGAAGAGAGGAATGGCTCCTCTGAAGCTCAGATGTCCCAAACCTGTTGGGGGTCAGCCTGGGGAAGAGGGACAGGATCACTTTGGCCAGAAATCCCAATCCTAACACATTTCTTGTTTCCCCTCTGCACCTGACCACCCCATCATCAGGGGTACCTTGA